TGACTCAAGGCTATATCAACAATGCCCTAAATAGATTACTTTATTGGAGATTAATGAACTGAGTGATCCTATTGAAGAAATTTTTGTTTGTGATCATCATCTAGCTCTACAGGCCATACCCTTTCTAAATTTGGTAGTGAGAGAAAAAAACAAAAAAGGAAGAAACAATTTCAGCGTGTGATAATTACTCTAGTCGCAGTAACAGGGCAAAGGTAGACCAGGGTCTAGTAGCTTGAGTCCAAGAAAGAATTTGGTAGGTTACTGGGGAAATAGGGTTTACTATGTTAATTTTGTGGATTGGTTACCAAACCTAACTCTGTGACAGTGGGCAGAGAAATGCTAGTTATCTTCCAGCAGGATTTACTGTTTGAGGGGGTCCTTGAGAGGATCTCAGCTACTCCTACTACTTTCAGTGCTTTGTTGAGACCTGATAAGCCAACGTTGCAAGTGGATGACGTAACCGTGTTTGGGAGAATGTTAGAGCTCAAGGAACGGTTCTCTAAAATTCTCTACATCTCAGATAAGAACTAAAAATGATCCTATGAAAAACTACAGCTTTGTCATGACCTCGTAAATTATTTATAGCATTATATTCCAAGACTGCTACCACTACCACCTGGTCAGCTCCCAGGAATTAAGGTCTTCTTAGGCTTCAATATTTAATGCTTATTGCACAGAACATAGCACTTATCAAAAACTCATTGCTTAATCTTTAGTTTAATAAAAATTACTATTTGTTCACTTTTAACATTTCTTGTTTTTTTTTTTTTTGGAAAGCCTCCTTTATCAAGTCTCTTAATGTCTCTCTGAGGTAAAGTGCGTTTTGATTAAATAGTCAGCCATTAAATGCACTTACACGTGCTTCGTTTAGCACTGACTCCCTGGTATCATATTTGCTTGGATATGAAATGAAAGGTTCTGGAAATGAGTTGAATACTTTGACTACAGAAGCCTAAATAACTGGTTTATACCTCTGTTTTTTGGGTTTTCCTTTTTTGTACTTGGTCATCTCTGGTCTGTTTATATTCACTGAAGAGACAACAAAGAGATAAGCCTCTAAATTTTGTCTGAAATATAGGATAGATAGCTAAACATCCATTTCCCTAGAAATGTGCTAGTTCTGAGATGTCCTGTTGAAGTAAAATTATACATAATTTGCCTTTAGACTGTGTATATGTATTTTGAACAGGTTTAGCAATGGGAATATATTCTGGATTCCCTTTAAGTCCAGATACTTCCAGTTGAATAGTTATTTATGAATAGCGGTTTTATTTTAGTGCGTGTTTTAAATACAGTAAGTGATTCTGTTAAGAGGGCTAACTTTTCAGTAGATTTTACCAATTCGAGTCAACCCATTTCTGAAAATCTTCAGGATGCACTAAATTCTTTCTTTTTTAAGTTTAATGTTCTTCTGAGATGGATTAAAAAGTTAGCTTTTGAATTCTACTATACAGGCAACTTCTATTTGATATTGCATTCTATTTTAAATCTTGATTCTGTAAAGGTTAAGCAGCTTCACATCTAGCTCTGAGAAGGTTCCAAAGAGGAGCAAAAGTCTTATTAATATCAGAGTGTTTAGACCACTGAGTATCACCTTTACTTTGCTGCCCCACGCAGGCTGCATACCTAGGACGCAGTGACTCTGATCCTGACGCTTCTTGAGAAGGAAGAAAGCAGGCACGGCCTCCAGGACAGCGGCCACAAATACTTGCTGTGTTCGTGAAGCAGCTTTTTCCCAGCTAATCATGCCACTCTGACCATTATCTTGGCATGCGGCACTAATTCATTTTGGGATGAGATTACATAGTCGAATGTAGAAAGCTAATTTGAAATACCCACTTTAAAATGTGGTGAATGTTTTCATGCATTCTATGAAATTACCTGCCAGTTGACTTTACTTTAGGCGCAGATATGCCCCCTTTGCACGTGCAGAGACTTCTTTTTCAATGCATCTACCCAGTATTCACGTGTAGAAAGTTTATGGAAGGATTGTTTTGCTGAAGCATACAAGTGATACAATGAAAAGCTCATGGGGTTTGCAGCCAGACAGACCTAGATTAGGCTGCTATTTTTGATGAGGGACAAATTTCTTAAGAGCTCAGAGCCTGAGTTTTCTTTAAAAATGTACATAATAATATTTCCCCAATAGGTTATTGAAATAGCATGTATAAGAATCTAAAAAAGTCTGAAACTTAGCAAGTCCTAAAGTATAGGTTTCAACTTTCTCCCTTTTAAAAAATATATTTATCTATTAACTGAGGTAAAACATATTCAAATTCTATTTATTTGAGCAATAATCTAAAAGTCTGCTTTATATCTTTAAAAAGCAGATATTAGAAAATTGTTATATAGGAAATTCTATCTCCTAGCATAATACAACTCTTCAAGCCGAACTCTAATAAGCTTTCTTCCAAGGATTTGGGTCTTTAAACTATCTTTAGCCCCATTATCAGTGTTTCAGATAGGGCCATTTGGATGCAAATTAGCCAGAAAATGAACTCCGATAGAAGTATTTATTTAGAGACCAATGTTGTAGTACTCTGACCCAAAGAACTTCCTCACAGAATGGGATCACACAAAGGTCAGTGATAATAAAACAAAAACATAAATCAAAGTAGAATCTTCCTGTAAACTAACAGCAATATATTCAGTTATTACGTCAGTCAGGATTATTTATAAGTATGTCAATAAATTGTGTAGCATCTCGTGGTTTCTCTTCGTGTTCCTCAGCTTATACAATTTGCAGTACTTTATAATGTACCTCCGTAATGTAAAAGAAACCCATTGTTTAAGAAATATCCAATTACCTAGCCTAAGAAGCACCTGTGTCCTCCCTTTACTTATCCTGGGATGTTTATTGCTGTAAACCCGTTATTCTTCTGTGCTGGTGGATCTCAAACTTTATCAGGTGTCGGAACCGCTAAGAGCTGGACCCTACCCTCAGAGTGTTGGATTCAGTAGATCTGGGTTGAGGCCTGAGAATATGCATGTCTAACAAGTCCCCATGTGACATGATGCTGTTCTTGCTTTGGCTGGAAGAGCAGGAAAGGAAATGCATAATGCTCAAAGGCAATACAGACCCCCCACTGTTCTTCCCTCTGCTCTCTCATGCTCCAGTCTTAGAATAGAGCTGTAGCCAAACCACCATCCCACTGAGAGAAAAATGTTGTGTGCTGTAAGCCTTTGAGATTTGGGGGTTGTTTGTTATCCCAGCAAAAGCTGACTAATGCATATCCGTTCACTGTGACATTATTTAAATAGTAACGATCTAAATATTCGGAAATGATCTAAATATTTGGAAATGATCTAAATATTCATTAAAAGGATTGAATGAATAAATCGTGGAATCTTCAGATAGTGGGATAAAATATAGCAGTTAAATTGAGTGAACAAATGCCGTCTATGTCAAATAAATCTTAAAAACAATGATGAGGGTAAAAATACTGCAGCAGGCTACCTGCAGTCTAATGCAATTTACATAAACTTTAGAAAATGCCAAATACTCTCCTGTATTACTTATGGACATATACATAGTGAAATTGTTAAAATATGAATGAAATAATAAATTCTAAATTCAGAAGAGTGGTTACCTGTCAGAGGGGAGTGAAAAGAATGAGTATGGTGAGGAATGAAGAACCTGTATCTGTAAAGTTTTGTTTCTTCATGGAATGAGGAATAGATGTCAAGATTGGACAAAGCCAGATGATGGGGACACAGAAGTACTAGTCTGTATACTTTCCTTTATGCTTGGAGTAGATCACAACACAATAAAGCATATCTTTTAAAGGAAGGAGCTTCCATTAGTAATGGGTTTTGAAAACTCATGGGGTCCAGCAGCTTTAGGTGTGTGGCCGATGAGTGAAGCTGGCGTTTTGAGATTCTCACAGGTTCAAAGAACAAAACAATAGAAATAAGTGGCTCAAAATACTTGTGGTTCAGTCTTATATTTTAAACATGGACACAGATTTCAAGCCGTGTAGTGTCAGTAAGCATGCATACCAGGTATTTCCTTTTTCCTGAATGCAGATTCACTTACTTGGCTGGAAAATTTGATTTGATTTGAATTCAGTAAAAATGCTTGGATAGGCTTTCAGAGGTTACACACAAAGCCCAATTTCCTCTCATTTTTTGGTTTTGTTTTGTTTACTGGAGACAAGAAAAGAGGATAATTGGGGGTGGGTGTGATTGTCTCAAAGCTTTACCCACCTCCTTCCTTTCCCTTCAGGAGGAAGGCGAAAATATAGTGTTGCTTCAAAACCTCTACAGCACATCGGAATAATCTGGAGAGCTTTCGAAAAGCACAATTTTCCAGGCCTCGCCTCACATCCTAGTAAATCTGGAGTTTCCAAATATGAGGCAGAGAATCTATTTATTTATTCATTCATTCATTTATTTAAAATCTTTCTACAGTTACTGTTATCTTCATGAGACCACAGCCCCCCCAAAGCCCCACCAGCTGAGAGTTTCTCTTGTAAATTTGCTGCTCACTGCGGGATATTGCCCATTATGTCTATCTTATAAAGCAGTCAGCAAGTGCTAAAAACACAGCAAACCAATAAATAAATTAGGAACATTGTATATAAATTGATTTATAAAATTAGGTGGGTCCCTTAAAAGGAGAGCAGCCCACTTATAGTGTTACCCTACTGAGCCCCGGGCGTTGAGCTTCATTTAGAGGTTTGCGTATATAGAAGGTTATCTTGTAGCTATGCTAAGAGTATTAGGGTTCCCTGGGTGTGTGAGCCTTCTATTAAAAATATCGTTAGCTCTTCTATTCAAGGTGTAGGGTATGCAAACGCAAAGGTTGGGAGGACGCTGACTTTGAAACTGGTGTCTTTCAAACTGAAATTGTGGTAGTGATGACCTTTTGTAGGTTTTCTTTTAAAGAATATCTGTGTGTTCTTGAAAATTAATGTTTATTAAAATATTAATATATTTTTATGATTAAAACTTAAATGCTAACTTTTTATTGGGGTGTGTGTGTGTGTGTTGTAACCCAGGGAAGCAAGAATGAAGATAAAAGGGAAAAGAAGCAGAAAAGGAAAAAAGCAAATACAAGACAGCTGCCATTCTACTGGGAAATACAACCGGTTGCCTGGTGGTGAGAGGTTTCTTCTGAGAGGCTACACGGAGCCATTGCCTCTTGGAACCGTGTCAGCGAGAAGGTAGGGTAAAGAATCTGCCAGCCCCTTCCCTGCTTTCGTCTCTCATTGGTCAGAGTCGGCCTGGGTTGCCGGCTCTCTCACTGAGGCCCATCAGGCAGCCTGGGTAACAGAGGCCCTGCGTGTGGAGCACACTGGTGGGCAGAGGCAAGCTCTGGCGGCTCTGTCTGCAGCCCGCAGCCTGGAGGCTCGCTAGCTGAGCAGCTGCCCTTTAGGGATGACCTCAGAAGTCCAGGTGAGATGGTGGACACGTGCAGTCTGAGGCGTGAGGTGAGGTACCAGGGGGTCGTGCCAGCGGCGGCTCCTAGGGCAGGGAGTACCTGTGCAGGGAGCCCAGCGAGGGAGGGCGCTACAACCGCTGGCCTCCACCTTGAGGTGGTGACGAAGCGTAACGAGCCTTCACTGAAGTCTCTCTGTGGCCGTGCTTGGTGCCAGTCTGGCCTTCTTGCAGGGTCTTCAATAGCACTAAGCCAAAAACTGTAGCCAAGCAAATCCTGGGAGGCACATAACTGGGGCTGCTGCACCAAGTCTGCAGTACAGGCAACATAGAACATGGTCTGAGGCCTCTTGCTGTGCCAGAAAGTAAGGCGGCTGCCAATCTTGGGTTGTGTCAAAAGGACACACGTGCCAGCTGGAGAGCACCTATCACTCAAAACCATGACAATTTCAGGGGCAAAAAGAATAATGAGTGCAATGGGTGGCCACACAAGGACTCTATAGAATAAAAATTCGTGGATGAATAGTGGTGGTCCGAAAGTGAATTGTGGCTGCCAGAGGCAGGGGTGGAGGCTGGGGAATTTGGGTGAAGGGGTCAAAGGACAAACTTCCAGTTATAAGACCAATAAGGCCCGGGGATGCCACGTCCAGCGTGGTGACTATAGTTAACACGGCTATATGGTACATTTAAGAGCTGCTTAGAGAGTAGATCCTAAAAGTTCTCGTCACAAGGGAAAAAAAATCTTTTTTGTAACTCTATGAGGAAATGCATGTTAACTAAACTGATTGTGGTGATTATTTCATAATATGTATAGGTCAAGTCATTATGTAGTACATTTTAAAGGTATACAGTGTTGTATGTCAATTATATCTCAATGAACTGAAAATAAAATGCAGAAGGAAGGATAGAATTTGAGAATTTGCTTTTTGCAAACTTTAATGAAATAGTGGGTCTAGGCAGTGATAAACAGAGGCTCTTAAAACCATTAGATAAAGAAAAAAAAACATTAGATAAAAAGTTAAGAGAAAAAGTTTATAAAGGATGGAGCATCCTGATGATGCCAGAACCCATTGATCAATATTATCACTAAAAGTGGAACAGGCAACCAGACACTAAGTACCTACTGTGAAGTACTCATGCCTCGAAAACTGAACCTGAATCTAATTCAGGTTGATCTACGAGTTCACAGGAAATATGAGGGACAGAAGAACATAGAAATTGATACCTTGAGGATGCAATCTGCCAAATTCAGAATAAGGAAATCTCAAAAGACAAAAGAACCCATTTTTCAGCAAATGGCATAGAAAAACTGAGAGTGAGGCACAAAAACAGTAAATTTTAAAGAGGGCTTGGAAAACATGTCAGCGAAATACAGTTTTAGGATCTTCTTTGGATTATGATTCAAACAAACCAACTTTGAAATGCATTTTACAGAAAATCTGGTAAAATTGAACATAAACTGGGTGTCAGATGATATTACAGATTTGTTGCAAATTTTGTCAAGTGTGATAATGTCATTGTGATTATGTTTTTTCTTTTAAAGTCCTTATCTGTTAGATATACTGAAGTATTTACGGGTGAAACCATATGATGACCGGGATTTGCTTTTACAAATCCAGAAGAGGGTAAAAAAGTGGGGATGATTAGATGAGAAAGCAGGGACAAAATGTTGCCAGCTTGTCGAAGTTGGGTGGGAATACGTGGCTTTCATTGTACTGTTATCACTACCTTTGTGTATGTTTGAAAATCTATAGTAGAAGGTTAGAAAATGAAAATACATGACCAAGTTCTTCTTAAACAAACACACAACCTCCCATGGGTTCTGATGAATCAGCCAGCTTTGGGAATCATTTAGGTAGAGAGGACCTTGGAATGAAGGAGGGGTAAGTGTAGAGAGGCTGGAACAACCCCTCCCCCAACCCTTCCCCCATCGCAACCCCCACTGTTCCCAGTTGCTTTCCCACCCCCAGTGGCTGCACTCTGAGCATTGGTTAGTGGATTATGCTCAAGGGTTCACAATCTCGATGATGAGCAGACAGTGCAGAAGAACTCAGGATGCAGGAGTACCTGCTTGATGTTATAGCTGGCAGTTCTATTAAAATTCTTTCTCTGATCTAAGAAAAAGATTAATGGGTATTAATATTTAGCTTGTATTTCCATGAAAAAGACTGTGGAAAAGCATTTTGCAAAGCACCTATGGTAACTAATCCAGAAAATAAATCAAATTAGTCACTGTTGAGGGCTTGCATTACAAACCAAAATAAGATACGTTTTTTGATGAGTGGCTAGCTTGAGGGTAGAACTTCATGGTTTTATGACAGAACATTTACTATTAATTATTTCCCAGTTAGTTCAGCTCATAAGGTGCTATGGAAATAGCACTGAGCTGGATATCCTGAGACCAGGTTTTGATTTTGGATCTTTCAATGGCAAGTCGTGTGACTTTCTTCGAGTTACTCTCTCTGAGGTTCAATTTTTTTCATTTCTAAACAGAAAAAAGAATAGGTGTCTGAGGTCCTTACAGCTGTAAAATTCTATTTGTCTCTGAATTTAAAAAATGTTCTCATTCCTTTGCCTGCACAATTTCATTTATTCCTAATAACAACCTTATGACATAGGAAATTTTATTATTCACACGTTGACAGATGCAGAAACTGAGAGCAGACAATAAATAAACTGATGAAGTCAATTCTCAATAGTTGTTGAACAGTGAAAGTTCAGGTGTGACCCAATTTTCATTCTCATAGAAATATCCAGTCACTGAGTTTTCCTATGTATGCTGGTATTTACTATTAGTAGTTGAGGCTCCATGGAGTTAGACATTTACAATCATTGGAAACTCTGAAATATGAGAGAAGTTTGATATGTCTAACAATTATAAAAAGTTTGCATCTCAATTCAAGCTATCATTTTTAAAATACAATGGTATTTCTGTAAAATAGGTTCCTTTCCAACTGGATTTGTGTGTACATGTGTGAAAGTAAGTTTCCCAAAATTTCAAGAGAATTAAAGAATCGATAGTATATATTATGTCTAAGATGTCTTGTAAAATAAACAAAAGGTCTCTAAATTTTAAAAGATAAAATGTATTCATCTAATAAGTATTTAGTGAGCATTCGCTATGGACCTCTTTGTTCTGAATGAATTTGAATCTTTAGTGTCGTTCAAAAACTACCTGGATGTGATTAGGGTCAGTTCCTGTCTAGGTTCCCTGGAATAGAGCCTGTTCTACCTGATTTCCAGGGTCATTGCCCTGTTAGACCACACCAACGGTATTTTGGCCCTGTAATCAACATTCTGGCATCCATGAGAAAGTTCAGAATGCCACTATTTATGCTACATAACGGAACCTTGCATATAATCGAGGTACTCAGCGAGTAAATATTGAATTAAAGCTAACATGAAGACATGATCCTTTAGGAAAAAAGGTAGCCATGGTTAAGGCCATTTGAGCAGGTGAGATTTCAGGTGGCAATAAATCAGGTTACTATTTTAGGGGCAATAGATATTTGGTTCTTTGTGGATTTGCTTGTGCAAAACTAGATCTGTGTTGTTCTAAAGATTTGATATCCACAGTGACAATGAGAGTAAAGATACCTGTTTTTTCACTTTATACTTTTCAAAGCACTTTGATTATGTTATCTCATTTAATTTTTAATATCGATTCTTGATGACACTTTCATGTAAACACTGGCTTAAATTTTACGTGGAAAACGGACAAACCCAGTCTTGTGAGGGGATAGTGTCCTCCTGCTAAAAATAATGTAATGAAAGAAATAGAGGTGTACTTTGGAGGCAACACTCTTGGCTAAAAATCCCCGACATCACTGGGGAAAACTTTCATGTTAATGCTACCTCTTTAGGTCTGAATGTTCTGGTGAAATGAAGGGGAAATATGAGGATAGGTAAATTAAAAGTCATGCTGCCCTGTTTTAAATTGTATGACCATGAAAATTATGTCTTTACAAAACTTTTTTTCTAATTTATAGTGCATGTTAATAAACATAATTCAGTTGTTTAATTCCCAGCAGCACTGAACAGAAAGCAACACTGTAGGTGGCTGATTAATATTTTATGTTTATCTTTAGTAACTAACCATGTCAATATGTGAAGATGTTCTGAAAGCAACAACATATTCAAAACAAACTTCCTTTGCTATGTAATTTCCTTGAGATATTTCATTTTTAAAAGTGTTTATATTAAAGCTTTTCAAATGTACAGCTTAGCCAAATAGTATTTATACTATACATTTAATAAAATTTAAACAAAAGTTTAAGGGTAGAAAATTTTTGGCTTAACCACAGTTTAAGGGAAGTTTCTTTCCTATTATCACATGCTATATATAAATCTTTATACCTTCATATACTTTGGAATAAACAATTTAAGTTCAGGTTGTTTCCTTTTAAACTTCTCAGAGTTTGTCCAGATTTTCCTTTATATTATCAATAAGTGTGTTATTATCTCTGTCTTGTACCATCATGTACCACTAATTTATATTTTCCAACCCTTCACAAAGAGCTTAGTGTATCAAATCTTCATTTTTCAGGTGCTACATAATATTTAGTAAAAGGCATGATCTTTCTTAAAGGAAATAATTTCAGTTAATATCATCATTGAGATGATTCAGGTAAACTTATAGACAAGAGAGACCATATTTTATAAATATTCATAAAACATTCCAAATATTTAACAACTGATAAGCCTAGGGCACTGGCCAGTCAGAACAGACAGGAGCCATAAAGTTGAACAAAGTCCTGCAGGCCCCTTTGGGGCCAGATATTAACCC